ACCTAGAGATGAAAATATTGCAAATACAGTTTGATTTATAGTACTATTTATCTCGTGTTCAAATGTCAAATAATCACCCAAGCTTTATTTTCTAATTAGAGTTATTTACTCATCCACCAGAAGGCATAATTCATAAGACCAAGAGGAAGGATAGTAAAAGATGGAATCCTATAGTCAGAGGATTAAAATAAAAATAAAAATAATTAATATTTTTAATTAGGAAATAATATTACACACCCTTACCAAGAATAAAAATGGGAAACCATTAAACAAAAACAATAGATTTTTTCATTTAGGTAATAATATTTATGAACCCTTACCAAGATTAAAAATGGAAATATCTTTAAAACAAAAAGAATAAATTTTTAATTAGGTAATAATATTATGAGCCCTTGATAAAACTTCTTCTAAATCTTCCACTGTATAAAACTTATGAAAATATTTTAAAGTTAAAGACCCTCAAATTATTTATAGAAAAATAATTAATCTGGTAAAGATATTTAATTAATTTTGAAAAGAAAAATAGAAAACTAAAATAAGTAAGACATTTAATGAATACAAGAGTAAGTTGTATACAAATGGTTAGATTTTTTTACCTATAACTGGAGAAACACTCTCCTCCATCTAACTCATCTTAGTTTGTGAATCCTTCTTCTTTTATTAGGAAGAGTCATATGTTAAGTTTGTGCATGAATCTATCGGATGATTTTTTATCATGGGGTATGGTGTCTGATAGATTCACGCACAAATTCATAATGTGTCTTTTCAAATTGTTATGTTTGATTTGATTTATCTCTATTTTTTCAATTTGCGTGTAAATAGAAAAATAAATTCTCATAGATTTACTCCTTTTACTCATTTCCAACCACGATTTCAACATTGTTACTAGTTTAGAGATAATTTCAGTTTAGCAAGAGTTTATTTCATTGTTAGCCATCAAAAGAGCTTGAAGCTCAAGTTTCAATTAAAAATTGATTTGTGTACTGTTAACGGAGTTCGTTTGGAGTGGTGATATCTCAATAGAATTGGAATGTTGAAGGGAGTTTGAATCTTAATTTGAGGCTATTTAGATTAAATTTGAGTGGGACTCGAACTGAATTTCAGCGCTAGTTTGTTGAAATTCAAATTTATAGTGGAATTGTGTAACTTTGTATTGAAGTTATATTAAAATTATATGATGAGTTGGATAAAAATTGTATTTTAAGTTCGTATGTTGTTGTAGATGTTTTAAATTTCTATAAATAATGTTGTATGCGAGTTGTATATAATGTTGTTGTAATTATACTAAAACCAACATAAAATATATATATATATATATATATATATATTCATACAAGATTTATATAGATTTCAGACATGATATTCTGAAGGAGATTCAAAGCGTGATTTTTTTCATAAACCCAACATGAATTTTATACAAAAATTATACAATTATATATATGTAATTTATTCTAATTTTATACATGAAATTATGAGCGAGATTTGAATTGTTAATTCGTATATGTTTTTGGAAAAATTTCCACCTATGTTTGGTAAATTGAAATCTCTTGCTACATTCGGTAAATATAAATCTTATTTTGTATATATAGGTCTTTACCCAAAAAATTTACTCCCTTCATTCCATATTAAGTTAATTTTTGAGGTGTTTCACTCCCTTTAAGAAAAGTAGATTAAGACATAAATTGAACCTAGTTTTCCATTTTTACCCTTATTAATTATTGTCAAATTTATGATTAAAATAACTAAATATTAATTAATTACTAATTTGAATACTGACTAATGAAGGATAAAATTGGAAGAACACTCTAAAAGTGATCTTGAAAACTGAACAATTAAGTTAATTTGAAAAATGGAAAATGCCTCAAAAATTAACTTAATATGGAATGAAGGGAGTAATATACAACGAGACAAAGTGAATGCATACTACCTATACATGTTGGTAACAATTGAGCAATAGCTATGAATGAATATAAGTGACATTAAAGCGAATGAATACAAGTTGTATAAGCTAGTATCAATTGTTACAATAGGACGAACGAATACAAGCAAAACTAGAAACAAATGAATAAATTATACAAACTAGTAACAATTGATATAGTACATCGAATGAGTACAAATAAAATTAAAGCTAACAAATACAAGTGATACAACCATTATGCACAAATAAATACAATTTATACAGGCTGCACCTATTAACAGAGCAAGTATAGCTATGAATTGTAATTAAGAAAAATGTAGTTGCTCTTGGTTCAAATTTTATGAAGGAAACAAATGATGCCCAGCAAATAAAGAAAAAGAGGAAATAAATGATTCCCATTCCAACTCATGTTATCCTGTTTTTAACTTTTATCATCATCTAATATATCTGGAAAAAGAATTGATGGATTATGATTGGAACGTGATGATAAATAATCAAATTCCTATAAAATTAGAATATAAGGTTAAAGTAGGATACTAATTTATATATTTGTGCCCCATTTTTAAAAAAAAATGGCATGCTCCTTTACGTACAAGCAACGCAGTGTATTTTTATTTATATTTTTGGTTTATATATGCAACGGGATAATGTCAATGAATTCTAGTGGGGGCAACTAATGTGGACTTCTGCCGCGTAAAATTCATCTAAGAAAAAAAAACGCTTAGCAATATATATATATATATATATATATATATTTAAAGCTCACATTCAAAATTTTTAATTAAGAATGGAGAAATCTTGTTCAGTTATCCATTCTATCACAACACTTGCTAGTTACGATTTTGTCTTTTTAACTTTTTACAATTCCTAAATTTTGGTTTCTTGCAAAATGACATAATTAAGTACTTGCTATCTTGGGAATTTTAATTATAATTATACCCTTTGAATTTTAATAATTCAAGAGTGTAATTGTAAAGAAATTTTTTATAGAGTTCTAATTCAAACATAAGATGAAATGAGAAACAATAAATCAAACACTTGATAAAAGTAAACTTGATATTACTAATTCCTATATTACTAATTCCTATATTACTAATTTTTTTTGTTATTAATCTTTGTACCAAATGATACTTTACGGTAATAGCAAGTGGGTGAAGATTTGAAAAGAGGAAAAAATATTCACAAGGAACTACTTGGGGACAAAGGAAAGTTAACATTTGAACATCAAGTTGGTGATATTCATATGTTAAATCTCGTATATTAGTTAATCATATGATATATTTTGTGTCCAAAGTATATATGCATATAGTAAATAGATATTTATGTATTACACTTGGTGCTTAAATATATACAACTATATATACCCCTTCTTGTAATAAAGAGAAAAGCAAAAGTAAGTGAAAAAAATACTACACACATTATTTCTCATTATCTTAAAATATTGATAATTATTTTATAACAACTTCTATATTATTAGAAAAGTAGTGTCATCAAACTAAATTTAAAAGAAGGTTTATGAAAATGGCCAAAGTTATCTGTTTGTCATGTGAATTCATGTATATTTAGAATAAATAATAAATTATATTTAATTTTAATTTCATATATTTTAAGATATAAAGTATGTATTTGAATGTATTAAAATCTAGTAAAATCCGAGGTAAAAGGAGAAAAAACATTTTTACTTACTCAGGTTACACAGTTATATCTGGTGAGATGCGGTAGTTTGTGGAGGCGATTATAAAAGTATGAAGACTCCCATCCCCAAACTCATCTTCATTAGGTATCCGCCGTACTAACCCAGCCGCCCACTGCCGAACACCGGCTTCCATCGGCCCTTTTTCTCTAAACTTCTTATCCTATCTGAAGTTCGTGCAGACCAGAAATAGAAAATCAGGAAGAGGCATATTTCACGTTTGTGCGTGAATCTAACAACCCTTTTCATCAGAAAAACTGTTGTTGTTTGCTAGATTCACGCACAAACTCGTAATATGTATTTTTCGAATATCTGCGCTTTGATTTGTATCTATTTCTCCAATTGGTGCGACTCTGAAGTCTGACCTGACCTCTTTTCCCATCTGTGTTACTGCATATGTTTCCGTGCTCTATACTGATTTGATTGATTCTCATGTATCATTTGCATTAGCCACGAAGCTCTTCGGAAATGGGTAAGCCTCTGCATCTGCTCTCTTGAATTTGACGAATGGACTCTGTTTTAGATTAGAAATCCATGGTTCATGTGTTTATTTATCTATTTTGTAGCATGAGTTATTGCATATGAATTAGCAGTTAATGTATTGGGGGTAGAGGATGAACTTGTTGAACCTTTATTTTTTTATTTTTCTTATGGATCTGAATTGATATAAAGGATTCATTTAGGTGACCTGAGTAATACTGATTTAGATGGTTTGGGCATGTGAAGATGTGATGCACAGATTCCTGTTGGTTATAATAGGTATGAAGAGAGGTAGTAGACTGAAGAAGTGTTGGAGAGAGTTTGATTAGACCGGGCATGACTCAGTTTCATGTTACCGAAGACATGACCTTAGGTAGGAAAGTGTGGAGAACACGCGATGACCTTAGATAGGAAAGTGTGGAGAAGGCTCATTAGAGTAGAAAGTTAATAGATAGTAGAGTGGTGTCTTGGTTTCCGAGAGTCTAGGCTTGTTGGCGTTTGTCTGTACTAGCAGTGTTATTGTAGTTCTTGATTGTGATATGTATCATCGTCGGTTATTTATTGTAATTCCATTATCACGATATTTTGTTGTTTTTAGTCCTTTTTTTGGGGGATTTGTAGTGCCCCTTGTTAGTTGCTATGTTTTTACCATTGTTTTCTTCTTTCTTGTACTTGAATTTGCTATGCTTGAGCCAAGTGTCTCCACAAGTTATCGGTAAGGTTTGTGTACACTCTACATTCCCCATACCCCAATTTTGGGATGTCACTGGATATGTTGGTGTGTTGTTGCAGTGATTTTGATTGTTATATTTCACTTGCTTAAGTTCATGGTCTCCAGTTATGTTGCTTGGACTCTCCAAAAAAAGAAGTCACACTCGTGTCGGATTCTTCAAAGATACACTACTTTTGGAGAATTCGACATGTACCCGTTGCCATTTTTAAAGAGTTCGAGCAACATAGCCCCCAAGGTAATTCCGGTGAACAGTTTGAGAGTAGCACTTATTCAATAAACTGCAGATGGTAACAACTATACCATTAATATATGAGGTTCATTACTTTTCAACCAAAATAAGAGGGAGAATAAGGGGAATACAGTCTCTTGAAGTATCAATTTAATAAAGGAACACTGATCTTTAACTTCTCCCGTGATATAAACATCTCTCATTTGGCACAAAGAGTTGACTAATGCTTGAACAGGTTCGAAAATTGTGGAACAGTTATGATAACAACTTCATTAGTGAATGGAGAAGCAGGAGGTAGAATGCCAATGGCATCAACTACCCAATGGATAAGAATAGATGGTGAATTCATAGTAAATCAGCAGCAGATATATGAGGCTCTTGACTTGCATTTTTTGTAAACATTGTCAAAGTATCGTTATCTCAAAACTCTAGTTTGTTTTTCTTCCTAAATCAACGTTCCTTGCTCCAAATTAATGTAAACATGATACTATTTGTCATCTTTATTTTCTCTAGATCCCAATAGATGAGTAAGTTAACTTCGGAATGAACGAGGAGATTTGCTGTAGTTTGATGCTAAACCAATTGAGACCTTTTGCTTAATTTAACACTAAAATGATGTGGGAAGATGTTTCCACTTCTTCCCTTTATAAGTCAGTAATTTGAGAGTCACATGTTAAGTTGCAACAAGTCTATGCATTCATCATATAATCCATCTTTAGTTTAGTGGATAAAGTTCTATTTACGAATAGTTAAAGATTCATGCTCTTTTCTATATGACGATTTCCATTCCTTTTAATTACATGGGGCTTAACTAACTGGATGTTTTACAAATGTGGTAAGATTGATGTTAATGGTACCAAGCTAACTCAAGTGAAACACTCATAACTTCCTAATGAGAATTCAATCCCTTGCCGGCTGTGGAAGTAACTTCAAATTCACGAAGTTGCTTTTGGAGGAAGATGGTTAATTTTGGTGTTAGCAGTTTTGTGAACTTTGTAAGATCCAGAAAAGGCTTAATGAGGTAAACCTCGCATTGGATGCTTCAGTATCTTTCTCTCTTCTTTTTTCTATAGTCATACATTGCTTCACTGCCTGAATTGTAAAATACACAGTTGCTATAAAGCATAAACTACCTTAGTACTTCCAAATGTTAACTGTAAGGTGTACTCAGTCCTATGAACTGATTTCAGCATCACTTTACAGCTCATTACACTTTTGTTGCAATTGAATCCAAGAACAAGACTAAGAGGATCAATATTAGGTGAATAACTCTAAAAAGTTCAATATTAGGCTATATTAAATTGAGTCATCAACGAGTATGTATTCCCTATGGGAGTGTGACATTACACTTTGGAAGCAATTGAATCCAAGAACAAAACTAAAAGGTTCAATATTAGGCGAAGCTATATATTAAATTGAGTCATTAACGAGTATGTATTCCCTATGGGAGTGTGAGTACCTATGTGGTGAAATAATAAGTGGGATATGTTATCATGATGTTAGCTGGTTTCTTCTTCAAGTCGAACATATTTCACTTTCATTTTTTGACGCAACACACTAGTTATAACACTCGGTAATTTGTCGTGTTTCTTTTATCTATTTAAGCAAACTTGGCAAGTTTGCAGAATTCTTTTTACCTGTTCTATGACATTCATGAACACGGGTTGGGTTGAAGGGAAAAATGAAAGAGAACAGATACTTATCAAAGGAAAAAATTACTTTTTCATTCCACAATGAATTTCCATCTGCTGTATGAAATGTATTAAGTGAATTGTTGATCATAATCATCAGAATTATGTGCAGTATGCTTCTTGCTCCAAATTTGGGAATTCAACAATAAATAGTTGGGAAACATTGATAATTCAATAAGGTAAATGTACTAGCATTGAAAAAAATAAAAGAATGATTATGTAAACTACATTCTGCTCATCCGCATACCATATTAACTACTACTACTCCTATCTTTTTTCTCAGGCCAGGTTTTTTCAGCTTAGAGAGTATGTTGCTCAAGATAGTTACAACATTCTTAACAAACCCTTGGCTGTTTGATCTTCTCCTTTGCCGGAAGGTCTACCAAACGATGGTGCTTGCAATAGGTTCCATTCTGTTCAAAAGCCCTGTAGAGTTCATGGAAAAGATTAACCATCAAGTCACTGCCATCCATTTGCTTCTTGTAGTTCAGCAGAATATAGTGAGCCCTTGTCCTGAAGTATCCTTCTACAAAATCTTGGAAGTTCATGAGGGGTCTCCTCAGCATATATATCATGCCCTTACATGTCAAGGTAAATGCTTTCTTGTATCCTTCTCTACCACTAGGATTTACGCGTGTCGTACTCAAGATTGAAGTCTGAATAGCTGTGAGCACTTGCAATATGTTAGATTTCTCTGGATTCCACTTGCCTTGAACACCACAATACCAGTTAGTCAAAAAGTTACCACCTTCCAATAGACTAAGTGTAACCTTACCCTTAGGGTCCAAAAATTCGTTCAAGTCAAGATTATAAGAATGGTAATGAATTCTTGGAGGACAATTAGGGTAGTTTCTTGGGAAAAGTAGGTCGAAAAAGAAGAGGCCATGGGCGTAAGGCGTATCGGGTGGACCAACTATGACTGTCCTCATAAGATCAATCCTCTTCTCATAAGACTTGACAAGAATGGAACTGGGAAGCTTGTTCTCCAATAAAAGCCATTCTTTTTCGATTCGTTGGCGAAAGGCGCTCTCCAATCCCATGTTCTTGGAATTTCTGTCATATTTCAAGAAGTGATGATCATTTGGAGGATAGTCAAGTATGCTAAATTTGTTGATCTGGTTAAACCTCTGTTCGATATCGTCGATAATTTCTTCAATTTCCCCATACATGTTGTTGTTTGCCTCATCCATTGATTGGTGTTGCTTGTTATGAAGCAAGCAATTGTTTTCTTGTATATTATGTTCTCTGAAAAAACAGAAAAAACCCTCCCTGTTTAGTTGGAAGGAATTCTATTTTTCAGTATAATTCTAACAATATCAACGCCTTGCTAGGTATAATGAAAATATATAGGGGATTTATGTAACTATATATAAGTAATTATATACTAATATTCCTAAATCCCAACTAAGTCAGGAAAAAGAAAACGTTACATATAAGTAATTATATACTAATATTCCTAAATCCCAACTAAGTCAGGAAAAAGAAAACGATCGATATTTAAGGTAATTATTTGAATTGAACTAAAACCTTAATGGACTATTTCAAAGAATCCCTAATATACAAGGTTAAAAATTATTTACCCTTTTCAACTTTACTTTAAAAATTGAAACTCCTTTGGCTTTAAACAAAAATAACACCCGAACAAATAATGCTCCTATTTGCAAGTTATAATTCTAAGATTGTGTCCTCGAGTTAAAAATTAAAATTAAGGGTAAGAGAATTATCTCACCCATTTGAATTTAAGGACAATTATAGTGAATTTTTACATGTGATAGGTAAAGGTGATTTTTACTCAAATAATTTTATTCACACTAAAAAATGACTAAATGGAATTAGTCATCTGAAATAATGATTGTAATTGTTTATTGTTATAACTTGAAAGATAAGAATTATGTCATAACTTATAATTATTGGTCCTACAGTTTATAGATGTCAATTATAAAATTTTCACTGTCTAAAAGGGTGACAATTTGTCATTTTCTTCTCGAAAAGAAAGCTTCTCTTTTGGGCTTTCTTCGAATTTCAAAGTTGGACTTGCAAATTGAGACCAACTTACTATCACTTGGGCTTGGTACTAAGCTTCTTAGGGCTTGGCAAGTGCACAAATAGCCCATTTGAAGATCATTAGTTCTTAAGTTTTAATCGAAGTTTATAAATTTTTATAACTTTTATCGCTTCAAAATTAACTTCAAACCAACGGGTTCAAAGTAGGGAAAATTTTCAAAATGTCAATATTTTAATATTTAATAGGACTCATTGTCAATACTTTCAATATTTAGTAAAAATGTCAGAATTTTAGTTTAATATGTATCTTATTTAAGTTTGTATTATTTGTTTTATTTAAAGAATACAATTATTAAATAATAGAAAGGAGAAATTTAGGGGAGATAAATTTTTTAAAAAGGAACAATTGCTTAAAAGTCTCATCAGTTACAAAAATTCAAAACTAAATACAAATTCAAAAAAAAAACACAAAGAACCCATCCCACTTGTTCATCAAATTTCTAGTATCGATTAAATCACATTTTTTTATATCCAACCATGGCTTCAACGGATCAGCTTTTAGAACCAAAATCGACTTTCGTGAAGAAGAAGAAAAAAAGAGAGAGAATCGGAGAATAAGGTTGCAAAGAATGAGAGAATGGAGAAGAAGGTTGCAAAAATTGTATTCATATTAATTTTTGTTTGTCAATTGTTTTTCTTTTACTCAACATTTATATTTTTATAAGAACATTGTAATTATAAGAAAATTGTATTTCTTAAACATAGATGTATCATATTTCTTTCACAGTCAATTTGTATTTTTTTTTAGAATATTGTATCATTAATTTCTCAACAGATTGTATTATTTTTATTATGTATGCTATTCTTTTATCAAAATCTTGTATCTTTCTTTAAACGTATTCGTATGTAATGATTAGATTATATTGTAATACAATTAATAATATTTTTGTAATACGAATAAAAGAAAAATATATTTGGCAATTATGTAATAAAATTTTGATCACTGAAATATAATTTTTAGTTTTCACTATGAAAGTAAAATACCAATTTTAATTTGAATGGTAAAGTGAGCACATAAAATACAAAAGTTGTTAATATACAATTATGATGAAAACATAATAAAAAGAAATACAGACTTGTTGTCATTGAAATTGAAATTGAAATACAAAATGAGCACAATAAATACTCACATCAATTGGAATACAATATTGGCTTTGTTGGTATGTCATTATGATGAACACAAAAAAAAAATACAAACTTTTCTGAATACAATGTGAGAGTTAAATACAATGTGAGAGTTAAATACAAAATGATCACAGTAAAATACACACCACAATATGATATTCAATTTTAATTTGAATGGTAAAGTGAGCACATAAAATATAAAAGTTGTTGGTATACATATGATGAAAACATAATAAAAAAGAAATATGTTGTCATTGAAAATTGAGATTAAAATACAAAATGAGCACAATAAATACTCATTTCAATTGAAATACAAATGTGACTTTGTTGGTATACCATTATGGTGAATACAAAATTTAAAAAAAAAGTAGAACTTGTTTGTAGATAAAGTGATATTGAAATACAAAACAAGCAAATTAAAATACAAAATTGTCGTCATTTGTGTTCTAAGTAGAAAATTGTGATATTGAAAAATAGAAAATTGTTGATTAAGTTGGATACCTCTAGTAATTCTCTTAGATTCTACCATTGGACGTGATTTAGAGTTTATCAAATCCTAAACGTGATTTCAACTACAGACAACAATTTTAAACAAAAATAAAATCATAAAATAAATCTTAAAAAACGAATAGAGATGCATAACTCACTAAAAGGGATTGTGTGAATATCTTTATAAAAATATTTTTCAATTTCTGAAAAAACAAAAAAGGAAGAGAGATGCGGATTTTGAAATGGAGAAGAATTGGAAGATGTAAATATATTGCAAAAAAAGAAAAGAAAAAAAGAAGAAGATGAAAATATGAGAGAGAGAAAATATTCCCTTTATTTTAAACATATGATAGAGGATTAATTGGAAAATGTGTAATTAAGCTGAGATAAAATAGGAAGTAAATTAGGATACATAAGCTTTTCCAAAATAATGACATTTTGACATTTTTACTAATATTTATAAAGTATGGAGGTTTTTACTAATTAAGTTAGACTTTTTGACTTATTTCCTAATTTTCCCTTCAAAGTATGAAGCTATATTTCTCAAAACATAACTTTAGTTAAAATGATTAACACTTGACATATTGTTTGTGCGAGTAAATTACAGACATTTTGTCCTTCCAAGGAAAAACTACACAATATAGCTAACATTGATAAGTATTTAGTGTCTATAGCTACAATTTAAAACAATTATTATATATGAATATATTTTACTGTTAATTAGCAAAGAGAAACTTGCATGCCAGTATGCTTTTTCTAGGCGTCTTTCTCGGCCACAAGCACACAACTCCCTATATCCCCGATTTAATCTTTCTCTTTCATTAGCTTAAATCAATGTAATTTTTTTTTTCAAGATCAGATAATTTGCTCGATTTTTACATCTAATTCGGTATACTTATTTTTCAGGTAGAGCATCAATTTATTCTCCTTGTTCAATTTTTTCATAGTATTTGTTTAAGAGTGTTTATAATTTCAAATTCATAGGGTTTTAGTAGAACCTTTTATTTCTCCATTAAAATGGCGAAGATTAGTATTTTGAAGAAGGTTACGCGAGGTATAACATTATTTGATAAAAATCACAATGACCCCATACCGATGCAACAACTTAACCAAGAGCAAGGGAAAAGCTCTCTCAACAGAAGGAATGGTGTTCAAATTTCAAAATCTATATAAAAAAGTTAAAAAGAAAGAAAAGTATGTGTTCCCGAAGAACCACATAAACCACCAAAAGAGTATTTTATCATTCCCCAATTAGTTTGTATTTACTTGTTCCCGTGTATTTTGCATACAATTGAATATTTGTATAATTTTCTGTGTTTGTATCATTACTAACTTCATATTGAATTGCACAATATAGTTAGAGATATGCATACTTCATTGTTGATTTTCTTAATACATGAAAATGTGTAGTTATCAATACATGTAATTCCTTTTCCTTATATAAATATACATTTTGATATATGTATACAGTATCATACATGGATACATAAATAAAATGTATT